ATGAACCTGGGTGTACAAATATCTGTTTAAGTCTCTGCTTTCAATTCCCAGAATTGGAATTGCTAGACCATATAGTAATTCTATTTTTTTTTGGACTTGCCATTTTTTTTGGCATGTGGGATCTTAGTTCCCCGAGCAGGGATCAAACCCATGCCCCCTGTATTGGGAACCCAGAGTCTTAACCACTAGACCACCGGGGAAGTCCCTAGTAATTCTACGTTTGATTAATTAATTAATTAAACATTAACTACACATTAAATTCATGTTTAATTTTTTGAGGGCCCACCATACTGTCATCCACAGTGGCTGGACTATTTTACATTTCCATCAGCAATGCACAGGATTCTAATTTCTCCCCATCTTTGTCAACACTTATTTTCTGTTTGTTTTTATTTTTATTATTATTTTTTTCGGCTATGCCACATGGCATGAGGGATCTTAGTTCCCTGACCAGGGATCGAACTGTGCCCCAGTCTTAACCACTGGGCCGCCAGGGAAGTCCCTGTTTGTTTTTAAATAATAGCCATCCTGGGCTTCCCTGGTGGCGCAGTGGTTGAGAGTCCACCTGCCGATGCAGGGGACACAGGTTCATGCCCCGTTCTGGGAAGATCCCACATGACCCGGAGCGGCTGGGCCCGTGAACCATGGCTGCTGAATCTGCGCGTCTGGAGCCTGTGCTCCGCAACGGGAGAAGCCACAACAGTGAGAGGCCCGCGTACCGCAAAAAAAAATAATAATAATAATAGGCATCCTAAGGGGTGTGAGTGAAGTGGTATTTCATTGTGGTTTTGATCTGCATTTCCCAAATGACTAATGATGTTGAACATCTTGCCATGTGCTACTGGCCATTTGTATATCTTTCTTGGAGAAATGTCAAGTCTGCCACTTACATTCTTTAAAGTATATATTTAGGGCTTCTCTGGTGGTGCAGTGGTTAAGCATCCGCCTGCCAGTGCAGGGGACACAGGTTCGAGCCCTGGTCTGGGAAGATCCCATATGCCGCAGAGCAGCTAAGCCCATGTGCCACAACTACTGAGCCTGCACTCTAGAGCCTGTGGGCCACAACTACTGAGCCTGCACTCTAGAGCCTGTGGGCCACAACTACTGAGCCCACGTGCCTAGAGACTGTGCTCCACAACAAAAGAAGCCACCACAATAAGAAGCCCGCGCACAGCAACGAAGACCCAACGCAGCCAAAAATAAATAAATTAAAAATATATACATTTAAAAGACTAATGACTTTATCATTTTTGTTAAAATGATACCTGTTCATTATAAAAATTGAAGCAAACTAGAAAAGAACAAAGAAGAAACCAACAAACTACCCTAGTTCACCATCCAGAAATAGTCATTACTGCATTAACATTTGGAGAACATCACTCTAGATATTTCATAAGTAAATAAAAAATTTATAACAATTCATACAATATGTCCTATTTCAAAACAAAAACATTGTATTTAACTTTATTTGAATTTAACAGAAAAAAAGGAAATGGAAACGGAACTGAAAGGATGATGGAACTTCAGAGAAATATTTCCTCACTACAAATGACATTTAGTTTTAAACATTTAAAAATTTTTTATTAAAAAGTTTAAATTGAAGTATAGTTGGTTTACAATATCGTGTTAGATTCTGGTGTGCAGCACAAATGACAGTTTTTTCATATATTTCTCTAAGGTTAAGAAAAAATGATTTTGAAAACCATGAAAGATGGACTCATCTATTAATCACATATTTTAAAAGTAGATGCTGGGGGCTTCCCTGGTGGCGCAGTGATTGAGAGTCTGCCTGCTGATGCAGGGGACACGGGTTCGTGCCCCGGTCCAGGAAGATCCCACATGCCGCGGAGCGGCTGGGCCCGTGAGCCATGGCCGCTGAGCCTGCGCGTCCGGAGCCTGTGCTCCACGACGGGAGAGGCCACAACAGTGAGAGGCCCGCGTACCGCAAAAAAAAAATTGCTTAAAAGTAGATGCTGGGACTTCCCTGGTGGCGCAGTGGTTAAGAATCTGCCTGACAATGCAGGGGACACGGGTTTGATCCCTGGTCCACGAAGATCCCACATGCCGCGGAGCAACTAAGCCCGTACACCACAACTACTGAGCCTGCGCTCTAGAGCCCGAGCCACAACTACTGAGCCCACGCGCCACAACTACTGAAGCCCACAAGCCTGGAGCCTGTGCTCCACAGCAAGAGAAGCCACCGCTTCAATGAAATGAAGAGTAGCTCCCACTTGCCGCAACTAGAGAAAGCCCACACGCAGCAATGAAGACCCAACACAGCCAAAAATAGATAAATAAATTAATTAATTAAAAAAAAAGACAAATCTTATTTTTGTACAAATGAAAAGGGGCTCTTGGGTGCTAATACCTTGAGTTTGTTATGTCTGAGAAGGTCTGAAGTCATTATATTTTAATGTCAACATGGCTGGATTAGAGTATTTTCAACTCATATTTTAAGTATATATAAATAATATCTGCTTATGGTAAAAATGTCAAACTGCAGAGTAAATTATAAAGTGAAAAGTAAAAGTTTTCCTCTATCTCTGTATGCAGTCTCACTCAGCCATCTCCCTACCCAGCCAGCTGGGGGTGCAGGCCCAGCGCCTGGCACTGAGGTGCTCTACACAGTGTAAAAAATGGTCCTGACCTTCAGTACGCTTATGTTCGTGTCTCAGTTAAGGAAGTGGAGCCAATAGTGCTTACGTTAGGACTGAAGCAAGCTGGATGGGGACTGTGTTGATCTTGTGAGTATATGTCTTATCCAAAATGGGCAGCCAACTGTTCAGCTCCAGCTGATTCTTTATTTTTAAAATAAATTTATTTATTTATTTATTTTTGGCTGCACTGGGTCTTCGTTGCTGTGTGCAGGCTTTCTCTACTTGCGGCACGCTGGAGCTACTCTTCATTTCATTGAAGTGGTGGCTTCTTTTGTTGCAGAGCACGGGCTCTAGGTACGCGGGCTTCAGTAGTTGTGGCTCGCGGGCTTAGTTGCTCCATGGCATGTGGGATCTTCCTGGACCAGGGCTCGAACCCGTGTTTGCGGCGAGCGGGGGCTACTCTTCATTGCGATGCGCAGGGTGCGTGGGCTTCTCACTGCGGTGGTCTTTGTTGAGAAGCACGGGCTCTAGGCGCGCGGGCTTCAGGAGTTGTGGCTCGCGGGCTTAGTTGCTCCATGGCATGTGGGATCTTCCTGGACCAGGGCTCGAACCCGTGTGCCCTACACTGGCAGGTGGATTCTTAACCACTGCGCCACCAGGGAAACCCCTCCAGCTGTTTCTTGTTCAAGGAATGCAGACTCAGTGCTGCTGGATTTCAAGTGAAAGGAGAAATTTGTGGTTGCTCTGCCAAACTTAACACACAAAGGGGCTGGATTTGATCAGTTGGCGGATGCTGCTGTTGCTCTGACGATGGGCTCTGGAGTCTTGGGTTTGAATCCTAGCTCTATCTATCACACATCCATTCCCAGTTTCCTCATCTATAAAATGGGATTCTACCTCATAGGATTCTTATGAGGATCAAATGAGATGCTGAAAGCACATATGAGATGGGCTCTTCATAAAGCTTATAATCTAGGGGAAGAGTCAAATGAACCTCATCTGGGAATTCCACACATGAAGGTTTCACTGGGACAGAGACCCGAAGGATGAACAGTTAACTGGGTGCAGCAGTGGGAAGGGTGGAGGGGAAGGGCCTAACAGGCCGAGGGACCGGCTCCAGAGAAAGCCCTGAGGCAACCATGCAAACCCAAACTAGAGCAGTGAGGACACAGAGGAGATAATCTTCTGGGAGCCAAGGACTTCCTAACTGATAAAGTGTGAGCTAGAAGGAGTCTCAGTTCAGTGTGAGGCCAGTCCCTGAAAATTTAGGACTTCACTCACACTGGCCTGTGTTAACTTTCCTGACAGAAAAACCACACCCACCAAGTCTTCCGCAGGGCCCTCTAACCCTCTTCTCAGTGAGTTGTTTTCCAGGCAGAGGAGGAAGATCAAGAAGGCAGGTAAGAAGGCACAGAGGTAGGAAGCAGTCCCATTTGCTTTGTCAGCTGAGGTATCTGGGTGAGGGCAAGTGCCTCCAAGACTGGCTGTGGGCGATTTGCAGCGCCCACAACTTCAGGCTGAGGAATCTGGTCAGTTTGTAAGACCTCAGTCAAATGGAGAATGGGCGCCCCCTGGGAGCAGTACTCGGTACTGGACACAGGAGGACCCAGATGAGCGGTGGGGGAGGAGGGGGTGCGGCTCAAGATGGGGTAGACTGCCTGCCACAGTTTTCTTCTCACAGGAGCTAACTCCTTCCGGCATGATGGATTCCTGGGATCCCAGAACAGCTGGGCTGGAAGGGACCTCGAAAAAGGAACTACCAACACGTGCCCCGTGTCAGGCCCTGAGCTGGGCATTTTCGTGAACGTTGTCTTAACACTCCTAGCTCTGCTTCGAGGTAGGTATCGTTATCCCCATTTTTCAGATGAGAAAAATCGAGGTTTGGTGACTTCCCAAGAAGGGGCGGGGATTTTGTATGACTCCAGAGCCTTTTCCCCTGGAGCTCTCACGACTTGGAAGCTACCGACTCTCTGAGGTTTGGGGGAACAAGCATCGGGTGTGAGGCGCTGAAGCTTTCCAAGGGACAACAGCGTAACGGTACTTTCGGCAAGAACCACGCCCCCCTTGTCCCGACAATACTGATTTCTGTTGCTTTCCTTTAAGAGCCTTCCCCCGAAAGATGAAGTCCTAGCCAAACGGGGAGGCGGATATTATATATTCCTGGATCGCTCGGACGTCTTTCTCCCTCACCCGCATTGATCCCCACTGGTGACATAAATTCTCCCCCGCTACTAGCGAGTGAAGGCATGAGACTACATTTCCCGGCAGGTCGTTCAGAAGGGGGTGGCGGGGAGAGAAGGAAAGAGACACTCTGTTTCCGCCCGCTCTCAATTTAGCGTGTCGGCCGTGATGCATATTTCAACAGCCCACGTCCTTTCTCTGTAGAGCTAAGGAAGGGACTACGTCCCCCAGCAGGCACTGGCGCAGAGGGCGAGTGATAGGCCGCCATCTTATTGTAGTCCTTTCCCCCGTTTCCGTAGGGAGTAGTCTTAGCGTATGGACTACAAATCCCAGGTCGCTGTCTCCTCTTTCCTTCGGCCGCCATCTTCGCTGGTAGCCCCCGCCCCTTTCCCCTTCCATTGTCTCGACCGAAGATAATAGAGGGGAGCAGGGAAGACTGCAACTCCCGTCAGGCTCTGCGCCAACAAGATGGGGATTTCGGTATTACAGGCGGGCGAGATGGCCAAGGTGGTAGAATGAGGCGATGGGGAGAGGCTAGGTAGCCTGCCATCTTTATGGTAGTCTCCTTATCCTCCTGGTTCCGCCATTCTTAAGGAACGCTAGAAGGCTAAGAAACTACTATTCCCATCGCACCTCATAAGATCGACTACTAGTCAGGTGTCCGCCCCTCTTCCGCCATCTTGCTTGTAGTCCTCGTTCCTTTTCACCTTTCCATTGTTCCTGACGAGTAGAAATGGCAACGGGAAGGCAGCAGATGGACTGCGACTCCCGTCAGGTACCACAGACGCGGAGGGTTGTGGACAGGAGGGCGTGTGAGTGCCTGGGAAGGAGGTCGGGCCGGGGAAGAAGGCCATGTTGTTTGTAGTCATCGTTCCCGCTGCCCTATGCTCTGCAACGGGGAGCCTCGGGGCAACCGGACTATAACTCCCGGCACCCTCGGCTCCCGGTTTGGCACGTCCTCCACCATCTTGTTTGTAGTCCCCGCTGGCCCCAACATCCCATTGTTCCCACGGTGGCACCAGCGTCCGCAGGACCACGAGTTCCGTCGTGCCCTGCGCGTGTTAGTCCTGGAAAGTGGAGGTGGTGGGGGAAGGAGGGGGCAGGGGGCGGGGTTCTTCTGGGAGAAGGAGGGAGTAAAGAGGAGGAGGAGGAGGGAAGGAGGAGAGAGGGGAGGGGGAAGAGAGGAGGAAGGAGGAAGGAGCTCAGGAGGGATGAGAGAGGCGGCCAGGGCCCCGGGCCGAAGCAGCGCGGGGCCGGGGGACCAGGGGGGCTGAGACACCCCAATTGCCCCCTCCCCCTTTTCCTGCCCCCTTCCATCCTTTCCTTCCAGCCTCCTGCTTGAGGAAGGGGATTTATTCAAATTTTATTTAAATCCCTATCTCCGGAGGGTCGCGCGCTGGGGGGAGGGGGAGAGGGCGGGGGCGCGCTCAGGCTGGGGGGGCGGGGCCGA